AAGGAAGAGAAACAATTGGAGATTCATAAAATTTGGTGCTTTTCAAATGAGATCCTCTGGAACGGAGAACAACTATACGGGAATTTTGATGTAGATTCCGTTGACGACATAACGGGATTGTTCGTCTTTTTGACGAAACTTGTCGACTGCTGCCTGTTTTCGGGTGATGCTACGGGAACACAGTCGATCAACGAATGATATGGAGGGGTGATTACAGGTGAGCCCAACTGCTCCTGTTCTGGATATGATGAGATATCGGAGGAGTACCTGAAACTACCATCAGTTTGCGATCTGCCAAAATGAATTTTATACCAAGATCAAATTACAAAGTGGGATTAACGAATGCTAAAAAATGTTCACTTCATTTGCATCCCAATTCGAGGGCGGAGTTTGAGAAGAGGGGGAGGGGCACATCCACTGATTATGGTAAGGTCACAAGACATCGCAGTGGAACATTCGTGAAGGAACATCCATTTGTGTTTCGCTTCTTATGTACCAAGCGCATTACATGTGTGTATGCTAGTATATATGTGTCCTGTTTAAAATTAAAAGAAAAATGCGTAAATGCTGTTGGAAAATATAAGAAAGGATGATAGAAAAGATAAAAAGGAAGCATGTAAAAAAGAAGTATTAAATTAGGTAAGAAATGTTTCGGTTCATTAAGTCGTATACATTTCTTACCGATACCACAGTTGGACCTCGTCAGCACGACGGCTGCGGTAACAGTATAATTAAGAGTATAATTATGAATAAAAATTAATTGTGATTGAATAAAATATGAAAATGAGGGCCGAGGGGACAGTGCTTTATTTGACGGAGCATTCAAGGAAAACTACCTTTTTCATCCTATGCTAAAAAATGTACCATAGAAGATTATATGTTGTACTAAAAAAGATTAAATTTCATACCCGGATACGGCTTCCAGTGTCTCAGGCGACAGTTCTTTGGACGTAGTGGCAGCAACAGCCGCTGCTGTGCCATCAAGATTCACAGGAAATGTCGGCCTGCGTTGTTTCCGCACTTGACGCCGTTGATGAGCACCTAATGAGCGAGACCTGTTCTGCTGGAATCGCCTCGAGATTTTCATATTTACTGTATTCTGAC